AGCGCCTGATCTGGGAGGACCTGAACGCGCTTCGCTCCACGGTTGAACTTGCCATTCTGGTCTCGTGACTAGCGGACTCTGAAAGTTCAGTAACGACGAAGTCATGTAAAGCTCTTCAGCCATCTGAAGGTCTTTTGTTTTGGCTGAGGAAGTGACGTTTGCAGATAGTGTGAAGGTTAGTTCTCATGTATCAGGAAAGCAAGAGCCTTCCTGTTGAGTGTGTGCCGTGTGCTGTTGGTTGTGTTGGAGTCCTGATGCGAGAAATTTTGCAGGATGCGTATGACGGCAAAGAGGAGCACATCCAACTGTTCTACTCATGAAGCCCGACTTCTGAGTGATATGTCATGTATGGATAGATAGGTAGATAGATGGATGGATGTGTGTGTGTGTGTGTGTCTGTGTGTCGCGTATTGTATGTATATACAATAACAAATGCAAGTTCAAAACAAGTATATGCACACACATATATATATATATGTACATACTTTAGTAGATGTATACATGCATCATGTAGTGTTTGTGTGTATATATATATATGTACACATCGGTTCAGGTAGATGTATGGATGTATATAGATGTATGGATGGAGGAAAGATAGATATACAGATAGCTACGCTGCACCGGCGAGCTGTAGCACAGTCTCTCTCGTCGGTGGAGCTTCGTCGAAGCCGTCCCGCCTTGCACCTTGAGAGCTTGCCTTCTCATGGGGGTTTCCGAAAACAGGGGACCCTAATACAGTACCCTAAATAGTAGGATCCTTATTATAAGGAGGCCTTTTGCTGCGCAGTTGCTGTCTCGCTTGGACACAGCAGAAAAGTGCCTGAACGAATGTGACTCCATGCGGGGTACACTGTGGCACGGGATCTTAGGTTTCGGAGTTGCTTAGGGAACGAACGATGCAGACTAGCGCTCAAAGCATGGACCCCGGGTCCAAGTAGCTTGTTTTGCAGGCTTATGCGGAGAACATGCGCCTGGATGAGCTGCTTGGTCAGTTCAGTTTGTTACACTTCTTGGGGGTCTGTGCGGAACATTGGAGGCCGAGCTTGAGCCGTTTGTTTCCATGAGCACAGTTTTTTCAGGTGGGCGGTGGGCAGCTTTCACCTGAAAACCACTTCATTATGTGAGGTATGGACGAGCAGTTTTGTTGCGAGCTCGGAATGCTTGTTCGGTTGGATGCTCCAACGTCTCAACGAAGCGCAGATGTACAAGTCTAGTCCATACCGGCATTTCAGATGGGACCCCCGTGCGGAACGAGACGTTACGATCATCGTTCCGTGCACTGTGAGGCCTGATGGAAGATTGACGGCCACAGAAGGTGCACTCCTTATCTGAAGAAGCACGAATCCCCAAAGCCAGGCAAACTCTAAGCCGAGAAGCGCTCTCGCAAAGTTAGACGCTTTGTGCGTTTCGTGGCAGTAGAGTATTTCGTGGAGTGCAGGAAACTACGTGCAAGGTCAGCTCCTGTTTCTTCTCCTGCCTTCGGACTGCATGTTCTGCTTGGATGCGGCGCCCAGGCTTGAAGATTTGCGATCAGGCAGCTTGCTTTCTGGAGAAGCCCAAGGCACCTGTCAGCTTCTGGGCCTTGAAGCCAGCTGCGTGTCGCTGAATTGCCTCATTATCATTATGGAGCAGGGAAGAGAGACGAGGCAGTCTGCAGATATCTACAGCGGCTGGTTAACACCAGCAGCTGGATCGGGCTCTCAATCTAAGGTTTCCCGAAGATAAGAAACACCGGCAACGAGTCCTAAGCGATAGAGCTCGGCAGAACCCGGCGATGAAGATTCATGACCGGATGTCCTTGAGCTGCCGATTTGAAGGCCATCGAATCGGATCTACACAGCCGGACTCAAAAGCCGGTGAAACCCTGACGCCAACAATTTCACAAACAAGGTAATCTTGCCTGGATAGAATCAGTCAAGTACAAGTTTACGTTTCTTATGCCGTGTCATGGCCTTTCGCTTCTCTGTACGAGACACGCCTTTCAGCGCAGTGTCAGGTATTTGTCGCTGGTTCGACAGGAGAGCTGGGCAGACGCGCAGGGTGGCCCGGGAGCTGCTTCCTGGAGCCTCTATGGCAGCCGCAGCCTGCCCCGGGCCGCCAAGGCAGTGCTCGACATGCTCAAAACCGGAATGCGGCTGGCTTAGTGGCATTGAAAGAGCTTTGACCCCACGGCAATCAGTCTCCAGCCACATCATTTGCTGCACCGGCAGGCTTGAGGCGTGGATGCACGCAGCAGTCAACCCTGTTGACGAGGTCAATATACTGTGGTGCTCGTGATGAAGGCTGCCCACTTCTGTTTTTGTGCAATCTCAACAATCATCAAGTCTCGCAGTTGAGACGCCTGCCTCTATGCACGGAGACTTGGTTCTGGTGTGCTAGTTCGCCGTTCAGCATGCTTCCAGGGCGCATCGCAGAGGTCCAGTACATGAACAGATCCTCCACCAAGCCTGTCCCCGAGCATTCTGCTGCTGTCACGTGTGAGTGGAAATTCGCAAGTGGCCTTGAGCAGCGCACGATAGCATGCGGTGGGAGGGATTTCCACTGTTCCTAGAATCTGTCCGAATGACATTGCAACCCTCCCGTCCTACACCCCACCGTACAGGTACCAAATGACCGTCATCAAAGATGCCTTCATTGAGGGCGGCCGTGAGAAGGTGCCAGTCTTGAGACTTGGAGATGGCGATCTTCGTTCCAAGGGCTTCTGCACATTCTGACATGCTGGACCCGGTTCTCCCGTCGGAACTTCTGTACCGTTTGGAGTGGGCGTGCATGTGCGTGCGGGAGCACCGTCGAAAGCCTCCTGCAAAGCCAAGTCTCCCAAGCAGGAGCTCGAGGAGCAGTTGCTGGATGCATCTGTGGCTCTGGCCTCAGGCTTTCGGCTTCCATAGGACCCAGGCACGACCCACAGCGGCTTGACAATGCGAACTTATATGAACTGTTGATAACGTTTGCTAATTTTGCTCAATTTGTGGTTTCGCATTGCTTCCTGTCCGGCGTATTTACTATGTACAGTAGTGTGAGCTCGTGACGAAGCCTCTCTGCTAGATTCTGCTAGGACCTCCAAGCGGTATCGGTAGTTCGCTGCATGTCAGATGCTTGACTGCTTGGCCGCTGCACCTCAGCGTTCTGAAGCAGGAAGGCACAGTACCGTCACATCACTGTAAGAACCTGATGGGCTCTTCTTCCATTGCTGGCACCTCTGCAAATCTCATAATGACTCATTGCTCATTGCCATTTTCCCCTGGATCAAGTGATATCAAGTGCCATATCAGCACTTCCAACTGTTTGCCGATGTCAGAGGAGTAAGTAAGATGTCAAGTCCAAAACTGTCGGAGAGCATGAAAGTCGACGAGCTTTCTTGCGACTTTTTTCTGTTTGGCTCTCAAGGTACAGTACATACTATCATGCACGCTGCGAGGTCTCCTTTTGACTCTCACTGGACCTTTCTATCTTCCTCCCTCCTCGGTCTATGTATCCATGCGACGTTGCCACACGTGCATGTCTGCTCGTTTGTGCCGGGTTCACTTCTAAGGTCGTAGACCTCGCCGGAGCCCGTTTCGGCTTCGACATCCTGCGGCCTGGCCTCGGTGGGAGCCTCGGGGCCTTCCGATTCTTGATCTTGGGAGATGTTGGCCTGTGACGAGGGCAAAAGTGACATAAGTGCAGTGAGTGGATTGAGAAAGGAAAAGACTTCCCGAGATGGCTGCTAGGGATGTTGCGTTTTGTGCGTTTACCAAGACCTCCGTGTTGTTTGCACATTGGACAACGGACATGCTTTTTTCCGCAGCTCTCACTGCGGCCAAGGTTTGGATAACACGGAGCCAGGGCCTCGCACCTGCAGCAGCTTTGGGAGGAAGGCGGATTTCCTGGGAGGCCAGAGCGATGTGACTTGCAGGGCACTCAGGCCCTCGTCGACGCGGCAGTCAAAAAAGGCCGCGCCCTTGGGCTTTTGGGCTTTGGGATGCTTGTGGGGCTTCAGTGGGAAGAACATGCAGTGCCGCAATCTTCCGGGCACTGCGGACGCCAGCCTCAGCAGCCGATAATGTCTGCATCTCCTGTAAGTGTTTATAGCTTCTTGGCCCAGTCTGCTGCATAGCCTCCGGCGCACCAGCAGACGGTTGATTGCATTGTGCGGGCTGCAAATCCTCAGCCTCTCCGCAGAAGAGACAAGAGGAGGAGCTACAGGTAGAAGCTAGAAGCTGTCAAAGCGATAATGCGCGCCGCCGCACCGAGACACGGACACACAATGGCACAGATGCCTTCCAATGAGCGATGGCAGTCGAGGAGCCAATCCAGAAGGCTGTGGCCTGGCCAGTTAGTACCCAAGTGCAGCAATGGACTCCGACGGATTCCGGACTGTGAAGTCCCCCTGTGATGATTCTTTCGTTTCGGCTTTGCGGCATTGCCTTCGCCACGCTTCTCAAAATTAGGTCGGCGCATAGAACTCATGCAGAAGCGAATTTCGCTTGGAGCGCCGAGGTACCAGCAGACCATGGCCGACCGGATCTGAGGGCCACAGGCATCAGCGGCACCAAGTTTGCTGGACACGGCGCCCTGCCAGTGACACTGCAGGCTCAGTGTGGAGGACGGCGACTGGGCTTTGGCTGGCGACCTCTTATGGAATGGCGACTCCGATCAAGCAACACCGAGGCTGGCCCAGTTTGCCTTTTCGGCCCCTTGAGTGCTTTCCCAGCAAGGACAGAACGAGACAGTACGACTGCTGACTGCTTGCAGGTTGTGTGTGATCGTCCGTGGGAAGCGCATCGCTTCCGTGTGCAGCATTGAAGAGGCTCTCCCCCCAGCACGAGCCGGCAGCTGCAGCCCTCGAACGCTGCTTTCCCGAGCTTTGAAGTATTGATGCATGAAGCTGCATGGAGACACGGGTTCGACCGAAAGTTGCGTCTGTCTCGACGGGCCTGGTAGCCGGTTATGAACGCGATTGGACTGGCGAGGCCGTTGATCTGGGCCTGCCGGTTGAGCACTACCCGGGTTGCACGGTGATGCCAGGCCTCATCGATGCTCATGCTGCTTGCCGCAAGGCAGGATAAAACAATATAAAGCAAAGAGAGGGCACTGTTTGTGCCGAGATGGGCCGCGGCCGAGGTGCACGTGGAGTTCTCTGAGCGCTTCCCGCTGCACGACCAGCCCGAGCTCTCGGCAGCGCAGCTCCGCCAAGAGATGGCCGAGCGCGCCTTGCGCATGCTGCGCAGCGGGACTCCTCCCACACGCTACGATGCCATGTGCTGCGTAGAGAGCTCTGGCAGAGTCTTGGCCAAGCAGGATCACCACCGCGCGAGACTTGGGGGGACGTAACTATGCAGCTCTGGGTGCCCTGGCCCGGACGTATGTTCGACGATGAAGTAGCAGGTACCAATCTATCAACCTTGGGCACCGGTCGTCGTCACCGTTTCTGTGGCAGCATCACCATCACACCATGGCTATCATCACCCTCATCACCGTCATATTGGGTGATTATCATCTGCATGTGCATGTTCAAACTCAATTTGACAACCACCACCACCACGCACCACCCACCACCACCAACCACCACCCACCACCACCACCACCCACCACCCACCACCACCAACCACCACCAACCACCATCAACCACCAACAACCGCCAGCAACCACCACGACAAACCGCCACAAACCACCACCAACTACTGCCAACAACCAACCAAGCACCAAGCACAGCCAAACAGCGCCAGCCACCACCAACCACCGCCGGCCGCCACCGCCGCCATTGCAACCATCACGAAAAAGCACCAACGGCACGAGCTGCGCAAGGGCTACCAGCACCGCCACCACTACTACACCAGCACCACTAGCTCTATCACACCGATTACATGGCAAAGCTACATGCCCTTGCTTGGAACACAGTTTGCCAGTGACGAGCATCACCGGCACGCTCTCCTTCAGTATCAGCATGACTGTCTTCGTTGCTTGTGGTGGTCGCGATCCTCATCTCAGCCAAGGTCTTCGCGATGCAATCCGCAAGGGTGAATGTTTGGGTCCTCGCCTGTGTCCTGGTGGCAGACGGCGATATACGTTCATGCTTGTGTTCCCTTGAATTCCCCTTGCAATACTTCGTCTTTCGAGATCTTTCGAGCTTGCATCTGTCGAAACCTTCCCTAGATGCTGAAACGCGAAGGGCTCGCTTGTGTCGTACTTGCCTTCGCTTCTCTGCTCCCAACATGTCCTGCTCTAGTTCTCATCCAGGTTTCCGGCCCTTTTTCGTGACGGTTGCAACGCAGGTCAGCATCTTGTGGATTTGGCGGTATGTCTCGTTTGCCAACACTATTAGTTGGTCTCTGTGATCGACTGCACTCAGGACGAAATGTACGGTACGGGGATGATAGGTGGGTAGGCAGCTAAAGTGCCATTGCAAGTAATGAAACTTCTGTGGGCCTTGTGATATCCACGAGAGGGTTGCCGAATCCTGACGGTGATGCCCTGACTTTGTGAGCAGAAGGACCATAAGGGATATTGGATCGTTCTACGATGTCCAACAACGGTGGCGTAGAGTCTGGCGTAGAGTTTTGATCCAGGCTTTGCGCGGGGCAGCCGCTGACGGTGCCGAGAGGACACTGCCATCAATGGGGCGGAGAGGCGCGGCGAGGTGTAGGTTGGCCCCATTTGGACCATACTCATCCTCGAGCACTGGACGAGCTCGGATGCTGGGAGCCTCATCATGTCAGTGGTCCTCTTCCCTAATTTCAGGCTATAGAACCGCTTGGCTGCTACTTGTAGAGCCATCTTCCAGTTCAGCAGATGCAGCACGCATGCTGTAAATAGCGATGCAGAGTCATGACCACAACTGGGTGCGCTATTTAAGGTACACTCGCGTTTCGCGTCTCAGGCACACTCGCTAGGTGCACTCAACGTTGCTTCCGTACCGTAAAAGGCTACCCTGCCCCTGCCCCTGCCCGCGGAGGCTGGTTTAGAGCTATCTTCAGTTTAGAGATTTTGGGGCACAAGTTTCAGGCAGGCCGCATCTGAAACTTTCGGCAACCCCAAGGTTCACGGTGACTTGAGGGCTTTATGATTCATGGTTTTTGGTTTTAGGGTTGAGGATTTTAGGGTGTCGGGCTTCACTGCCTAGAGGTTCACACCCCTCTCCTTTTTTCTAGCTCTTTAGTTAGGATCTGATATATAGACACGCATAGTACATATGCCAGATCACTACATGATTATAGACTCATAGATGATATACTATAGACTCAGACACTTTAGACTCTAGGTTCCCAGCACAACTAGAGTATTTGTCAGAGCGGCCAGATGCCATCAGAGAGCACACAGCATGCCACTGTCGGTGCTTTTCGGCACACTCGGAAGCGCTCTTGTCTTGAGACGTTCTGGGTTGGTGACTTTTGCCATGGATCCGGGGCAGCTTCGAAAGCTCATAGCAAACATCGTCTCGCAGAGACTTTTCTGATGCTATCGCGAGTCTTGCATGCTGTCCGGGAGGAGATGCAATATCGAGAGGATGCACTGCGGGTGGAAGCGTGTACCCAAACAATGGAGACCGGCACACAGACTGAGACAATCCAGTTAATGGATGCTGAGGACTACGCGTCGTGTTGCAGCGAGGATGGCGAGTTCCATGGGGCACCTGCCACCGAGGAAACGCAGCTCCTGAATTGCGATCGAGATTTGCGAGATGCGGGTTTGGATGATCAGTGGAGTGTGCAGCAAGCAACACAATCTCGTGACTGCTCGTTCGAAGAACTGCCACCGCAACAGCAAGGCAGCTCGTGCGAAAAGAGTTGGCCGATGAGTGACGAGCAGCTGGATTTCTTTTGTCAGAAAATCCAAGACCTGAGTGAGCCATTGACTCTGGCTACGATGGATGAGCTGCTTGTTTTAATGCGTGGCAAGTTGCACACCCTGCGACAGTTGAAACACGAAGCGTCGAGTGAGTCTGAAGCGTCCAATTTGGATCATCAACAGTCCAACTGTAAAGCTCTCATGGCAGTGTTGTCGAGTCACCGAAAAGACTGCATAGGGGCTGTCACATGACATCACTGAAGCGGTTGAATTAATGATTGACTGTCGGTGGCTACAATGCTGGCTGCTGCTGCTAGTCCGACATGCGCGTTGAGACCTCGCCTGGCAGAGTCCGACTTGCGAGAGCATAAACCCTCAATCCAAAGCCGAAAACCCTGAGGAGTGAATCCAGCAGGAACCTTTTGCCCAAGACGAAACTTTCAGGATTGAATCCAGTAGGAACCTTTTTGCCCAAGACGAAAACCTTATGCAGTGAATCCAGCGAGTGTCTTTTGCCCAACACGAAAATCCGAAGGAGTGAATCCAGCAGGCACATTTTGCCCAAGACGAGAACCCTGAAAACCCTGAGGAAAACCCTGAACCCTGGAGCCGGGCAGGGGCACCGTAGCCCCGTTTGTACAGTACGTAAGGGACCCTGAGTGCGCCCTAGATGCGCCAGAGCCGTGGTGCCTGAGGCCTTGGATGCAAAACTGAGTGCGCCTTAGACATCAGATGGCCCTGCCACCGCAGGTATCACCGAAGAGGTATTTAGAGGACGGTTTTTCCAGTCTATCGGCCATGCCCATACTCATTTGCATTGCTATGACGGGAAGTGTTTTGCCCGTACCAAACCCATCCAAATCCCAAAGTTACTACTCGCACTAAATCCAAAAGTGAAGTCTGAAACTCGTGAAGGCGACAGGCTGCTTGGCAAAAGTTGTTCTGCTCCTGCTGGCTAGCATGATGACATATGATGTCTTCAGCCTTTAAGTCTCCTCCCGAGAGATTAACCGAAAATAATCAGAAACAGGCAGGCTCACTGGAGGAAGCTTTGGCAGTCGTCGACCGCCAGGCCAGGGGCATGTCGGCGGTGTCTAGCGACATGCTTTTTGTCGCCGTCCGGTGCCGTTGTAAGCTACCTTCCAACAGCTGTAGCTGTGCTGCTGCGGTGTGTCATGCGGTGTCTACAGCGCCATCATTGAGCGACTGAGTCCAAGGTAGAGAACCGCGTCGATTGGATCAAGGTGATGGCCACTGGCGGAATGCGTACACCTGGGACAAATGTGGAGGATCCCTCAAAGCGTGAAGCTGGTGGAAGAACACGTCGGATGAGGATTTGCGAGTTTTCATAACTTTAAACGCGGATCATTGACAACATTACATGCACTTGCCGTTGTCAGCTTACTGTACTGGCTGTGACGCGCGGGATTCGTCCGTAGGCCGTAGGATAATCTGCCTGCGTGTCGGGCCAGGAAGCAGCCTTCTCTGTCCACGACTTGAAAGAGGTGCAGTAGACAAATAGTGATTGTCAGCACGAACAGTCATTGGTGTTGCTGGGCCAAATCTCTCCTGGCCAAAAAACAGGTGGTTGCCCGTGCGACTGCAAAGTCGCTGGCAGTGGCAGCGCACGCGCATGGTGCCCAGGGCGTGGTCCATGCGGTGCAGGCGCGGCAGTTTTTTGGTCGCCCCATCTGCTTTCCAGAGCAAGCCTGGCATTTTGTGACGATGTGTTGCACGCAATAACGTTGCAGGCAGGCTGCAGAACGGTGGAGCACTGCACATGGATAGCAAAGGCAGGCCAGTGGGGCTGCGTGGATGCTTCCACGGTGGAGGCGCGTGGCCAGGGTGCTGACCTCATCTTCACGAATTGCGAAATAAATTTGTGAATGCTTCTGACTACCCCAACACAGGCCATGGCTCGGCAAGGCATTGCTGTTGCCCCAACTGCACACGCGAACTGGCGATCCAAGCCTATGGGACATCGCAATTACACCCGACGCTTGGTGTCACTAGTACTGACCAGATGTGAAAGTGATGCAAAGGATTGCTGCATTCTGCTGAGGAATGTGTTCAGCCTTGCAACAGCTGCGAGCCTCGGCAGCACCTGCTGCACATGTCACATCCTTGTGGCGAGCATGCAGTTAGCGGACTGGCACCCCAAACCCTGTTGCGCATGTGGGAGTTGCCAGAGCCTGAATTCCTGCTGCTGTCGCTAACTGGTTTCTGCATGCCCACCTGAGGTTGGCATAGTCCAAGTGGCATAGTCGCTAATCATTGCAAACCCTGTGATTGTCGTCAGCAGGCAAATGCAGGCTCAGACCCAAAGGCGACAAGTTTGACCAACAAATGCCCGTACACTAGTCCTGCAAGATTGTGTGGGCAACCCTTCAGCATGCCACATAGCCGTTTCGCATTTGTGCAAAGCGGTGGACATCAGAGATGGTTTCAGAAAATGCTCCTGTGTTAGTGTGGCAACGGAACTCCCTGGCCCATTGTGGCAAGAACGGTGCCATCAACTAAAAGAGCCAGTGTGACAATGTGCCGACCGTGAATCGCGGGTGCGTCACACAGAACTTATCACAAGAAGCCTTGCTTGGCTAACTTCCAGAACGAGATCACTACGGGCTGTCGCATGAGTTTGCAACCGTTGCTGGTGCACTTTTCGATTGCTTACAAACTTCCACCAGGAAAGACTCAACAATTCCACTTGCAGGTCTCAGCTCTTGAGAAGTAGCTGTTCCACTCCCTAGATCCATCTGCAAACCTCTGGCCGAACACTTTCGGTGGCAGCAGCTGGAACTCCTGACGATAAGCGGACAGTTGCCACCCCTTGCACCGCGGAAAGCTAGAAGTGTTGATGAAACGGAACTTGCGAGATTGAGAGCTGGGCGTCACTGGCCGCTGCCCTTATTGGCCATCTGTAGCTGCTGTAGCCAGGTCTTTTTGGCTCGGGACTTCGGCACCCTGTCCGTGGTTTGTGCCTTCGTGACGGTTTGTGGATCGGAACTCCTCCGACCCATGCTTTGCGCTTTGTGCTAAGCCTGAGCCAAAACTCTAAGCCTTCAGGCGCGGCTGGGATCCAGCTCCTAGCCTCCTCAGATGCGGGAGCCATCCCAGGCCGGGCAGTGTTCTTTCTGTTTTGAGTTAGGAAAGTTGCCCACTAATCTGAGGGCTATCCCCCAAATACGAGGCCTCGAGCCTTGAAGGTCATGTGCGGAAAGGGGACTCTCAAAGCTGTTCCACACGGTGGGAGGGGGGAACGATCACACGCAGAACCGTTGAAAGAAGGCCTAAACCAAGCCGCTTCCACACGCAAGCTCAAGGCCGAAGCCGTTCCCGGGGGTTGGGGGGCAATGCGTGGGAATGCCCGGATGGGGGTACGATTGGGAGGAGGGGGGGGGAGGAGGAAGCCCGCCGGGGCGAATCCATTTCTACATGTGTGTGTACATGCATATACATGATACATGTTTATATGCGCATATTGAACAATGTTCAGACATGGTGCGCAGGTCTTCCCCACGATGCTCTTCATGCAGGCATTCAGGTTCTGGCCGAGATGGCAAGGACCGTTTCTCGATCCTGTCCAAAGGAGTTCGTGAGTCTCCCAACCGTGACATTTCGGAAAGCTTCACACACCTCGTCCCCCAAGTCATTTAAGCGGGCAGAGGACCAGCAGCTGACGACCCGACTACGTAAAGCCTCGCGGAGGGGATTGCCGCAAGACGGGGGGTTCTTTGCAGGATGACGCCCGTGGAAGCTTTAAAGGCTGCTACATCGGCCTCAGCTGCTGTCTTGGGCCTTGAGGCAGAGTGGCAGCCTTACACGATGCCGAGTCCGGTCATGCCTAGAATTCACACAGACGGCTGCCTTCGCACATGTGAAGTTTGCAATGTGCACAGTGTGCCAAGGTGTGGTCGTCTAATACCACGCCTCTCCGCAGACTTCCTGGTGGTCGCATCTTCGTTGCACATGCAGTCACACAGGACACGGTTACAACCTAACAAAGATGGAGGCTTGTGGACATGTGCACCAATTTATTGGTGTATATATATATATATTATTATATATTATATATTATATATATATATTTCTGAAAGTGTGTGTGTGTGTGTGGCTGTGGCCTACAGTATCCTGCAGTCATCAATTTACGACGTTGAGGTCAAAACTCTTGGAGTCACGCGTCGTTGGTAAGTGTGAGGCTGGCAATCCGACTGAAGATCTGGGTGCGCTCGGCCGCCCTGCGCTCGTGGTGGTGGAGGGTCGCCAGAAGCTCAAGGCGCAAGCGTCTCCAGTTCGGGATGAGGGTCTGTCATTGCCCCAGGTCGCGTCGAGCCCTTGGCTCCTCCACCGCCTTGGCCAAAGGTGCTGTCGTCACCCACTGTGCTCGGTCCCCGCCCCTTGCTTAGCCGCAGGTCGCGAGGCAGAGCCGTGCTCGAAGATAAGCGGGAGCTGCCTGCAGTTCCGAGTGCTTCGCGGGTGATCTATGTGCATCGCCAAGCTGCGGTCTGGTTGATGATGCCAGAGAACTGTGACGTGCAAATAGCTAGCCGTGCAGCTGCGGCTGTGTGACAGCGAAGCTTTTGTCTTCACTGTTCCACCTAGATCGGCAAAGTCCATTCACCAGTGGCACAAAGACTATGCCCGCCAAAGCCAGCCATCTCCAAAGTTGTTTGGGCTGCAGTTGAGACATCATTGCGAGCAACTGAGAGAGAAGAGGCAACCGCCATCAAGTGACCAGCTTTCAGTCACTCGTCACGTAATGATGAATGTTACCCAGAAAGGATACCAAACACTGGCCCAGGCGTCAAAAAGTTCATTTATGTGCCCGGGGCCTGGCTTCCTTTCCAGGCAATGTCCGTTGTTCTAGTAGGATGCCCATGGTGAGATGCAAAGAGAGTTGCAGCCATGCCAAGTTGAAGGAACGTGGGCAACCTCAGCGGCAAAAAAAGCGATGTGAGTTGGTTCTAAAGAGCATTCAGGGTGGAGCTGCGTCTGATGTCCAGTCGCGTCCAGAGATCTGAAGCAGTTATAACAGGACACTGGGATGGCATATGTTGATTTCAAGGTCTGCCATAATGGCCAACGGAAAGAACCTCGGAGCCGCCACCTCAGCTCCATGCAGCTGGGGCAAGCGGGTGGCCTCCGAGCAGGACGTCAGCGACATTTCAGCACATGCCGTACAGCTTTTCTGGTAGCCTGCTTGATGTTGGGTCGGCAACGCGGCACAGATGTGCTAAGAGACAGGCCCCAGAAGGTGCTTAGCCTTTGTTACATGATCAATTTGCATCCAGTGCTTGGGTTCTTTTGCAAATTTTGCATGTCGCCTCTTTGCCTTATTCGAGGCCAAGTTATCCTTCGCAGGAAGAACAACCTAAGCGCGCTTGCGTCCAAAGACTGGGCCACAAGGCTCCGCTCGTGACGTTTTTCAGGCGGTTTCGACCGAGACGGTTCGAGGTTCATCTGCCATGTCTGTAGAAGTCGCAGACAGGAACCGAAGGTGAAGTGCAGGTCCCGGTTGCAGCTTGTAGGTACCTTCGCTGTTTTGATGTTGCATTTGAGTCTAAGGACCTTTCAGCATCGCATGCTGGACAGGTGCTTCTGTGCTTGCTCAGATGATGAATGTGGTACAGCTGAGGACGAAGTCACAGAAAGCGATGTCTACAAGAACTGGAACAAGCTGCAACCTCAAGAACGCAGCACTCAGTGATCAGAAGCAGTTCCCAAGAATGCGGGCTCGCAGTCTTGAGCAACACCTGCAGTTTCGGAAGCGTGCTTGAGAAGAAGCTGGCGGCGGAGGAGTACATCAAGAAGCGACATTCTCAGGCTGATGCCAGGTTTCCCGCTGTAAAAACAGAGACGACCCGACTGAGATCCGGCCTTGATTACACCATCATTCGTCCAGCGCGGCTCCCGGAGGTCATGGGCCAGAAATGCATGGCTCGAGCGCTGCTGATGTGCAGGTGCCAATGTCCAATGACTTCCCCAGAGATGCGGCTTTGTTGCAACATGATCACCCGAGTTATCATCGCGACCTTCGTCACCTTAATCTTCTTTTCCAACTCCGATTCTCCTGGGCAAGGGGCCCAAAACAAGAGCTCTCGATCGATCTACGCAACCAAGCCAGGTCGGCGGAATTTACTTTGCAAAGCCGGACTCGTGGGGGTCTCAGGTTCGGTCATGTTGACGGCACGGCTCTGAGTAGCGCAATGGCACCCTTTCTGCCGAAGCTGCTTAGTCGCTCAGGCTGCGCCTCCGTGATTCCGATGTGGGCAAGAAGATCAGCCGCCACGATCCTGGCATTATCTGGCACTCTCTAAAGGCAATTCCCCAAATCAGACTTTGTTTCCAGGCGATGCCAGGCGGACAAGCCCTAAAGTCGTAAAGATGTGGCGACTACAATCCTACCAAACTGCGAATGCACCGATGCTAAAAGCGTGGTGTGCTGTTCAAAGACCTGAGGTGACGACGTGGGGCTGGCCGTGCTGGACGCCATCTTCAACCCCAAAGCCTCGAGAGGTGCCGGCAAACGTACAGCAGATCCTGGGAGATATGCACATATGTAGACATGGAGACATGGCTGCGGCTGACGAAGGCACCTTCGAGTTGGTCGGAGTTGCCGGTGCTCCGCCTACCCCGCGAGATCAGTGGGCCACCGAGCACGGATTGAGATAATTTGAGCTTTGCGGCCGGGCCAGGAAGGGCCGCTGAAGTACATCAGTGTATCGGACAGGCTTGGGTCACTGCGATCTCTAGTGACAAGTCAATTTATACTTATACCCTGCCTCTCACAGAACGACAGCCGTCCCTCACTCTCTCCGTCTCTGTCTCTGTCTCTCTCTTCTCCCAGGTGGTGGGAAGTGAAGGATGGGCAGAAAGCGTAGCTCAGTTACTTGAGCCAAAGGTCGCTTTCAGACAGGGCGGTAACTGGAAGATTTGAGAAGTGCCGCAGAGACAGTCTGATTGCGAGTTCTTGTTCCGACTGGCCATGCCATACGAATACTGCGCTCATCGGATGCCGAATTGCGTCGGGCCCAAAGGCATTTGCACTACATCTCGCACTGGGATTGCTCGGTTCAAAATAAAAGCCGTGAGGGGGCAGATTTTTGTTTGTTTTTGTTTTTTTTAGAGTTTTCATGGCCTTACTTGCCCTCACAAAGACAGGATAGTAAGGGTTAGTACGGTTGTCTTCACCATAGTCGTTGCTACTACTATACTAGCATTTCTCGGCATGGTTATCACCAATGATGATTATCGGTATTGTGTTTCGGATCTCTCGTCGCGATGGCTTGGCCCTGCATGGGCCCGGGAGCCATGGCTCGCCTCGCTCTGCCAGGCCTGGGATTTTCCTCATAGCGGCCCTGGGATCCGCTCTGCCTTTGCCCCCTGTCAGTTTTGCTGCTGCACGCATCGCGCGCGCAGATCATGAGGCCAGACTACTGTGCTGTTCTGAACCAAGCGTGTAAAGGTCTTCAGGTTTTGAAGCTGCTTCCGCCCCTTCTGCACCCCAGATATACTCCGGTCGAGCGCCTCGTGGGCCCCGACTTCTTCGAACATTGGAATTTCTATTCGGGACCGGACCCCACGCATGGCACGGCTTCCCGGCTCACACAGGTTGTCGAGGTGTGATGATTGTCAGACTAGTGTGGCTTTCTTGCGATGCAACATCGACTTCTTGAGTGCGTCAAGGCGAGAACCAGTAGTGGATGTCGAAGATTTGCTGACAATTCAGGGCAACCTCTGATCCCAGCGTCCCTGCACCCTTGGCCTGTCCAGAGACTTCGTTGCGCGCCGTTCAGAGAGAAGACAGGCATGGAGGCTTCATAGGCTCGGTAGTGTGGAGTGGATGCTCATAGAGTATGAAATCAATCAAAGTTCCAGGCGTTTTAGACAAAGGTCTTCTGTGCTTAGTGAGCGACAGCCTCTGCTAGGAAAAGCTCCCACAGAACTGGCAGAGCAGATCGAGGATCCCTGCACGGATGCGATTTACTCAGGTTGAGTTCGTCACAGAGATGGAAGCCTGGAACAACAAGCTGCTCTTTGCATCACCTGCCTCTTGGCATCTCTTGACAGTTGAGGTCGCAGAGAGGTGAAGCAATCATGCACTTTCGGGAATTGTGTCGTGCAAGAGACACAATTCATGCCACCGCTTGCGCAGCATGCATATGGTTTGTTCCGATACTGGAGCTGCATGCGAGTGTTTCCCCAGAGTGGAGTCTACATGGGCGTCGACAACACCACCAAGCTGGGAAGTGAAGGCCATGTAGTAGTCATGCATTGGATACAGCGAGTTGGCGGTAACATCATTGTTGCTCAGCTCCTCTCGACTCCTTCCTCGGCCGGTGCCATTCCTGCAACCACTTGCAAACGTCATGCTGCATGCCTCTTTTCCAGCAAGTTTCGGGCCAGTTCCAGACTTGTTGCTGCGGTCGGCTGGTTGGCGTTTAGCTGAGCCGAGCTGTGCTGGCGTCTTTACGTAAGATGGCAACTGCTGCATGTGCTGCTTCTCCTCTGATGCTCCAAGGACACCTCCTTTCCTTAGTTTAGACTAGTCATATTGGCGGTAGATGGCGGAACGAGGTCGAGGTAGGGATCCCGTTGATGAGTTTGGCCGCTGCACCGCGTGTGGCAGGTGGCAGGAAAGCAGTGAGGATCGAAAGCAAAAAGAGCTGCGTGGATGCATTACTGCCAACTTTTTGATGCTCCGCCAAGAGGGACCGATCGGAGATAGCGAGGCTACAATGGCGGCATGTTTGTCCTCACTCTGAAACATGTGCCCACTGCCTGCGGACACTTGGCACCGAATTGGCACAGCTACAACTGGAGCCGAAGTCGGCTCAGGGCTTAGGGTTCGATACAAAGCAGGAGCCTGGCCGGCCTTCTGGATGTTCGGCGATGATGCCCAGCATGCCTGGCCTCGTTGGGGTGAGTACGACATTCTCGAGTCGATCCATGTAGAGAACTACGTGTCCTGGACTGCTTGGTGCAGGCACCAGCTTGAGTCTTGAGGCTCTGCATGTTTCATCGAAGGCAACCACAACTTTGCACACCCGTGCGAGCTGTGACCAGTGCCGGCCCTCAGATGATCGTGCGCTGCACTTTTGCCGTCTGAGTGGCCTCTCACTGTATGGCGCCATATACTCATCTACGACTCCACGGAAGGCGAGAGGTCAACAACGGAATTGACTTCGTGGGACAAGGCTCTTGGCGTGTAATCGTTGTGCGCAGCAATGTCATGTTTTGGTGAGTCTTGGAAGCTGAATCTGAACTTGAGCCAACTCTAGCCAGGTTGGGCGGCCGGTTCGACTGGAACCAACAAGGCAAAGAACTGTTGGGCCACCCGCCGGTGTAATCTGCTTTGATGTGGACATCACGGGTCGGAGCTTCCCAATTTGTACCCACAGAGCTTTCAAGGTCAAGGCCCCCCAGGAGTACGACAACCAGGGCTGTGGCCAGAAGCTGCCGGCGGGATCCTTTGGCCCCGACTTCAACAAGAACCAAGGCTGGACCCACATCGTGTCGTGTTGCTTGGTTGCGAAGCTTTGAACATTAAGTTGACACGAAGTTGGTCGCATGACCCGAATTCTTTATCACGGCTGCAGTTTGATTAGTCTCCGGTGACTCGAAACTACTGCCTGTGCCAGGTGGGACCTTTGTTGCCGAATGGGACAATGTTGGCCGGACACGGTTGCATCATGCCGCGGTATGTGTTTTTTCTACGCACGGCGGTTACAGAAAACGCATGCGCATACATACACGTGTCCACATGCATGCATGTATGCATGCATGCATACATACACACAGAGGCCCACATAAGCCAACGTAACCTAAACCTTCGCCTATAAGCGGCAGCCTCAACCTAACCTCCAAGTCTCCAAGCCCCTAGCATCTAATCCAACCTAACCTGAACCAACCTAACCGTCACATACAATACACACAGTTATCATCACGTGCCGTGCATACGCTACGTACGCTACATACACTGTCTACAATACCTACAATACATAGACTACCTACATAGCTACATACCTACATCCATGTATGTATGTATGTATGTATGTATGTATGTATGCATGAAAGGATCCTGGTGGCTGGGACCATTCTGGTACTCAGCTACTCTTGCTGTAAACTTGGTTCCCCCTACTCCTCGCCTGATTCGTCGAGCGCGAGTGCTAAAAAATGTATGCATGAAAATGGCTACGGCTCAAGAGTCGTTGATCCGAGCCATGCTTTTCATAAAAGTCTAGGGCTAGGGTACTCCAGAACTTAACAGCTGCGAGACGTCAAAGGCCTATCATGTGGAGAGTGAACTGTAACACTCGCGAGTTTACAGTACCAAAGCATGACAACATGTGGGTAGCCTTTGAAAGCGAGAGTTGCTTGTAGCGTCTTCAAAGGGGTTCCTGGCTGTGGGCCAAACCGCACGTGGCATAGCGGCACCGCGCTGATGGCATCGCATGCATCCGGAAGAAGCGCAAGGCGATCGCGGGCACGCGCCGCAAAGTCTGAAGCGAAGAAGGATGAGTTGGCGGCAGCAAATTTGTCAGAGACGGACTCCCTGGCCATCGGCACCATCAAGGAGCTTGATTCATTGATGATGGTCTCCGACAAGGTCTGCACAGACTTCTGGACTGCTTGAACCCCCTGGACTGGGGTGTTACCCCAGATGCTCGAGTCTGGGAGTCCTGTGCAGCCGCCTTTTTGGCAGGGTCATCAGAGTCTGCATCGGTTGCTGTCTTGGCAGAAGCATCTGGGGCTGTACTCGTCACCTTGGGATCTACGCTAGGAGCCGGGGTCGAAGGTTGAGCCTTCGGGGCCTCCTGGGTCTTCTTCGTGGGTGACGTCGCCTCGATCTTCTTCTTGTCAGACTTCGACGGTACACTTCTCGATTTGCGCGTCATCTAAGTTTAGGGTTCGTGTGTTTCAGATTTGGGATTGGGGTCCATCCTTTAGTGAAGCTGATCTCTTTGCGACCATCCCCGCTGCAGCCCCAAACAACTCTCATTCGGAACTGCCCCCATACAGCAGCAGTCTATAATAAACGCACTATCAAGGACCTCATGTATCTATATTATCGTCATCATTCAGCTGTTACCCCAAACACTAAACCCTTAACCCTGCTACTGAGTGGGGGCAGTGACAAGTTCAAGCACGAGCTCAGCCGCTCAGCAGGCTCCCATCCTCAATCTGGAAAGTGGAGATCTCCAAACGGCGAGCCTGATCAAGAGTCGCCCGAGCTCAGCCACCTGGATGGTGACGCTCACCAGGTGCTTCTGGGATCCTCGTTCCAAGAAAGGCGGCGGCCTTGGAGCATGTTGCCCAGCTTCATAACCCGTTCCTACCCTTGAGCACGTCTTCCTCCGACAGCTCTTCGCGATCCCATGTCCCAGTGGCAAACTGGCAGAACCTTCCTAAGCCTTGCTTGCACACCTGCGAGGAAATCTGCAGTTGCATGGCAATCGAATCCAGAGTGAGCGTCGTCGCCCATGGCCTCTTCATGTGAAGGACCTTACTTCGAGGGTCTCAGCACTGGAGACCCTCCTTGGCCAGGTGCGCACCCGTGTGCAAACTATCGGAACGAATTTCGATAGCATGGCCAAAACCCAAGACTCCCTTTTGAGGGAGATCCAGAAGCACCTAGCGGCCATTGGTGGAGTTGCCAAGAGCTACAGTTCGGACACGCAGCTCGTCATCGGGGTCAAGAATGACAACCTGGAGGGCATAAAGGAATGCCTCAAGAAGATCGCGGCTGTGACTATGACAGTCAGGTCACAGCTCGCTCACGCGGCAGATGACGGACCTGTCCAAGCAGACGAGTGACCTTGGACAGGAACTCCTGGCTGCCTTACACTTCGTCCAGGGCTGGACCAAGCAATTATGGGCCTCCACAACTAGTCAAGGACGCACTCAACCGCGAGCTGCCAGAGGCGCTTGGATGACTGGGTGAAGAGCTGGGAAACTCTGCTACCCCCACGGACTCGCCGAGGATCACAAAGATCTTGTGCCAGATGCGGGAGTTTCAGGACGAGATCCAGAAGTGCGTCCTCCAGGCCGACAACTCGGGCACCAAGATCGAGAACCTCACGGATTTGGTCCAAGGCATCCACGGCAGGGTGCAGGTCATGGAAGCCACCTTGAAGACCACGAAGCCTTAAGGCTCCTCCACCGTGCTTCCCCGCGCCGGAAATGCCGGCAGACCCCTGCGATGGGCTCCTGTCTACCCGCCTGTGGCATGCCCAGTGCTCACAGGCATCAACCCTATGATGCAGCTGACATCGACTCCTTCGATGATGGGCCTTGCCAGAGCCCCTCCTGGAGCTTAAGTGATCAACATGCCGACGACCAAGCAAACACCGCAAGAAGGAGTGGTCATGGTGTGGATGGACGGACAGGCCTATCAAGTTCCGGCCAGTATGATCAAGTGATGCTTGACACAGTTTTTGGGAAACCTCGCACGACACTGGCCGAGGGAGTACCCCTTTTGCACCTTTCGTGCCGCCTCCTTGTAACATAACACGCTGACCCCGCTGCTACCCGCACTGTGCACTGACTGCCTGTACTTTTGCTTGAAAAAGATTCACTTCGCTGACGGTCAGTTCGCTGCACCATGGCTGTTAGGTGCAATCCGAACCCTTTGGATGCAGACCAGACGAGCCCTACATGGAGCTCAGCCCAGAAATTGCCCAGAAATTGTCAAGTATTCTGCTCCTGCACCTTGGCTTTAGCACTCACCAAGTGGTATCCAACTAACTGAAACCCCTGCATACATGCAGAGGCGTGTGTGTGTGTGTGTGTGCACCATGTGTTCGCTGTCACAGTTTTTGAAGGCCCTGCCTTTGCCTCTTTTTTGGTCCTATGTGGTATGCCATGCACTGGGTTTTGGTCTCACCTTTGTCCATGCTCGTTGTCCGCCACCTTGGACCCTGCTGCACTGTTTTTTGGCCCTCGCCTTTGCCCTTCCTCCCTCTCTGTGCTGGTGATGCTGCAGTGATGAGTCTTGTCTCGGTCGATGCTGCCGGACGACGCTGAGACGACGAATGGCATCTTGCTGAGGGTTTATGCCCTCCTGTGATATGGGACAGAGGCAGAGCCTACGAAAACCCGTGCCAGCCCAGGACCCTAAACCTCTCCTTTTGCACATCTAGCCATGCCATGACTGAACCTGGACTGGACCAGTCGCGGCAACATGAGATGGTCCTCCGTCTGCTGGACTGCCAGCTGGACAGCACAATGCTGGATGACAAGTGACCTGGCACATGTGACCTGCCGCATCCTGATCGAGTGCTGCCCACCGACCCATAACACCTTTGGTGGACGTGGAAAGTGGAGGTGCTCAACTGGTGGATATGCTGACACCTTCTTTTGCCTCATTGACGGTGTTGCATGTTGGCATACAGAGTCCATAAGACCACGGTGGATTGTGAGCGACAAGTTTGTTTTTCCTCTGAATCATTTTGCCTCTGACTGACAAAATGGGCCTGGCCTTTATAGCTATGTGGTTATTGCAACATGAGGGGGCCTATCGCAGCTGGAACGAATGCTGCCCGCTGGCCGGCCTGCTTGTGGCAAACTGGGTAAACTGTGTTTTTCTGCTCAGCCTGGAGACTAGCTGCTACCTAGCTGCCTATATGGTTGAGGATGTTCTTGCAGATGCTTTTTCCGGGGGTCTGCAGCGCCACAGTGCAAAGAGAAGGCTAAGTAGTTGTGTCGACCCGTCCAGCGTGTCTGAACACAGCCAGTGAAAGCATGGACGAGTGAGCCCCATGGTTGACGTTTGCTGAGCTGAGAAGGGCCCGCTCTGTCGAGGGGGGGGGGCCTAAGAGTGCTTCTGTAGTGTGGTGGAAAGTGCCGGTTGTCGAAGGTCGTGACGACCTCGTGGCACCGTTCTTTTGCGAGTTACGATGCCGAACACAGGTGTCTTGAGCACTGCTGTGACCCACGGTGTAGCAGTGTCGTTGCAGGGATGCGTGAAGTCGTTTGAAGTCGTTCGAAACGAGCGGAGCTTGCTTTTGACTGGCCAGTTACCTCGCCTGCAGCTGTCGAGCGCGAGTGCCACAAGATGTATGTATGCATGCATGTATGTATGTATACATGTATGTATGTATGTTACGTTTGTGTGCATATGTATGCATGTATGTATGTATGTATGTATGTATGTATGTATTTCTGTGTATGTATGTATGTATGTATGAATGTATGAATGTATGTATGTATGTATGTATGTATGCCTCTGTGTGTGAATGTATGTATGTATGTATGTATGTATGTATGTATGCCTCTGTGTGTGAATGTATGTATGAATGTATGTATGTACGTATGTATGTACGTATGTATGTATGTATTTTTGTATGCATGTATGTAATTCTGTAATTATGTAATTATGTAATCATGTAATTATGTAAATATGTAATTATGCGATGCAGATCTGTATGTTATGCAATGCAATGTAATGTACTCATAACGCAAGGTAACGTAACGCAAATGTAGTGTGATGTGATGAAATGTGATGCAATGTAATGTAACAGAATGTAATGTAATGTATGTATGTATGTATGCATGTATGCATGTATGTAATTTGTATATGTATGCAATGTAATGCAATGTGATGTAGTCGCAACGCAAGATAACGTAACGTAACGCAGGCAAGGCAACGTAGTGTAATGTAGTAATGTGATGTAATGTGATGTTATGTGATGTTATGTATGTATGTATGCATGCATATATGTATGCATACAGCTAAAAAAATGTATGTATGCATGTGCGCGCGTGCGTGCGTGGGTGTGTGTGTGTGTGTGCGTGCGTGCATCCGCGGTCGTGGAATCAGGTGTGGGTATGCTGAGTGGAGTGGGTGGATGGATGGAGTTGTCCGTGCTTGAAGTTATGCATGATGATGCTGTGTGTAGTTTATGCGTGTTTGTAGTCATGCCATGCACGCCTTTGTGTAATTAATCGTATGTGTTTCCCTGCGCGTGTTGCTACTATTCCGGTCTTGAGCTGTGTTTTGTTGTTGTTTAGAGCACGGGTAACCAGGTTAATCGGCAAAGGCAGATGCTGTGGCTGCGATCTATGGCAGTGTCGCCTTTTTTTTCGCGTGCGATTAGAAGTGTGTGCCAGGTCCGGAAATTCATGCGGACATGGTTCTTCCCTTCCGGAAAAGAGCCCATAGACTTGCTGGTGAAGGGCCCGCAGCCAGACATGTTCCTCGGCCTCGGAGCTCATAGGCATTGTGTGTCCCAAGTCGAGTGAAGCTAAGCCGTTTCAAAGCTGGGATGAGATTGCTAACCTGGACTTCACCGAATCATGGAAGACGGGATACTGATGGCTCGATGTACTCAGGTGGGGCACCCCGAACTCGTACTTCAGGCTGAACGAGCGTTGGTGCCTTTGATTTGACCAATGCAGGTCTTCAGTCGTTTGTTCAGCACATCAGTTGAACCCTTTGCAGCATTCCATGTCCTGGCTTGGACCACGCAGCCTTACTCAAGGTGTACAGCAGATCACTTCAAGAATATGCGAATGGTCTTCGACACAACCTTCTGTGGTGACCGGCCAAGATATAGTCAGGATTCAGCAGGTGCAGGCTCATGCACCGCCACTACGAATACGATTACCTGATTACCTGCAGCTGTAATTGGAATCGATCGACGCAAGGTTTCGATCTTCGGGAAGACAAGGTGTTGTCGAAAATTGTTAGTGGTTGCAATCACGCAATAGAGAGAGAGAGAGAGAGAGAGAGAGAGAGCGAGAGAGCGAGCGAGCGAGCGAGCGAGATAGAGAGAGAGAGAGAGGGAGAGAAAGTGGGAGAGCGAGAAGGAGAGCGAGAGGGAGAGGGAGAGCGAGAGGGAGAGGGAGAGGGAGAGCGAGGGAGAGCGAGAAGGAGAGCGAGGGAGAGGGAGAGCGAGGGAGAGAGGGAGAGCGACAGGGAGAGCGAGAGGGAGAGCGCAAGAGAGAGAGAGAGAGGGAGAGGGAGAGGGAGAGGGAGAGGGAGAGGGAGAGGGAGAGGGAGAGGGAGAGGGAGGGGGAGAGGGAGAGGGAGAGCGATAAAGAGAGAGAGAGAGCGACAGAGAGTGCAAAATTCCAGTAAATTTAACACAGTCCCCCTTGATCTTGCTTTAGTCGAGGATCATTCAAACAGTTAACCAGTTAACCGTTAACCATTACAAAACTACACGACAGCATTCGCGAAGCGATCAAGAAAAATTCGAAACAGTAGCAATCAAAGCGCGAAAAGGCATTGGCCTCAGTCTGGACATTTTTGGCTCGACTCGGGAAAAGACATTCGAGGCAGTCGGAGGCCATGTTTGAACTGCGGAAAGCAGACTCGCAAACAGTCGGCTCAGGTTCATTCACATTGAATCCGAGAACTTCATTCTCTGCCATCCACAGAAGAAATCCATTCAACATGTCAACATAAATTTCTCATTGCAACACAGGTGCAGTCGCAGGGCACTCCTTAATTATAATCGGCCGCTCAGTTCACAGTGCTCTTGGCATTCTTCCTCAGCAATCTCAGCTCCAGGCTCGACAGCATTTGCAGTCTGGGCAATCGCATGAACGGTGGCTGCATTGCGACCATTCAAGCCCTTAGCCTGCACCGAAGCATTCCAGGCATTCGCTGCAACAAATCTCATCCCAGGTGGAGCAGTCATGCATCAGTCCACCTCCAATCGCCCGGTTCAGTGGCACCCAAGTTTGCCCCATAAGGCGCCATTCCACGAGGGTTTGGCCATTGTTGGTGGCCAGCATTCCCCACTCGATGATCTCATTCAGGCTGAGAAGAATCTGCCCATTCGACTTTGCACTTGAATGGCACATTGCATCAGTCATGGCCATTCGCACGATGCCCATTGAAGGCATTGAGCACTCACAGCATTCCCAGCGCCAGTCATTGCTGCCAGCTCCATGGGTGCTGATGTGATCAGTGAACTGACGATTGAAGTAGCTGACCAGCTGCATTCTGGCATTGCCGCCGGATCCTCCAGCAGTCCATCGGCGCATTGCCTCCACTCGTGTTCGCCTGAACACGACGAAGGCAATCGGCCCAGCCTTCTTCTTCTCTTCAAACACAACTTGGTTTGCCCATTGCACAGTCTTCCTCAGTGCCGACAGGGCATTGAAAGAGCCATCCAGCTGACGGCAAGGAAAGCGGCTCAAATCCAGCCACCCTCTGCGGAACAGTCCATTCGCCAGGCTCGAAGGCAAACAGATCCAATCATAGACATTCACCAGCTGATCGGTCGCATTCTCCTCGCATAGTGAGGATAGCGCCATTCCACACGCCCGTTCCCTTTGGTCAGGAACAGTCGCTCAGCCATTGTCATTGCAACCCAGCTTGTCTCAATCATCCAGTTGTTGGGTCCATTCTGCTCAGCGTTGATTGCCAGCGACGACATTCACATTCTCAGGGAACTCATTGGACCATTGC